ATGATGAAAATGTTAATGACTCATCACTGTCAGCTGTACGTCTCGTGGAACAGCAAAGCGGTGTTGGGGCGCCTGATTGTATTATCCAGGTGATTCCCTGTGCGTTGAGGTTTAGCACTGCCCCTCCATGTCATGCTTCCGTCGCCCTAGCAACCGCCGATAACAATTGGCTATTGGTTGCTCAAAGGGCCACCAACCACTAGCGGCATCTGTGTATGGAGATCTTGTCATCACCTCTCATGTTTCAGGACGCATACCCATATCAACCAGACGCCAGTTATACTGAGGCTAATACCGGCTGTGCACATACTATAGTTATACTGATGGGATATTAGACAAGATGTTTAAACTCTGTATCTAATGTGATATATCTTAATATATAATGACACCTATTTCCTTATAATCATAGGTAGTTAATGAACTTTGCTAAATATACACAAAACCATGGTTTACAGAAAAGAAAATATTATTACAAGAGCCTTGTGAATAAAAATATTTAAACATACTGACACCACATATGAAAATGTATTTGCTATGTGTTATAATCTTATTATAGATGTTAGGCCATAAATAACAGGATCAAAATAAGTAATATCATAATTATACCAATGATTCAAAATTTAGCAATCATTTAGTAAGTCAAAAAAAGGGGAGCCTTCAATGAATTTAAAGTGACAGTGCTAATATATATAGTTTGTATATTGTATTTTTGAAATACTGTATCCTATTGTAACAATGTAATGTTTTGTGGACCCAGGACATACTTGAAAATGAGATAAATCTCAATGTATTCATCCTGGTCAAATATATTTTATAAATAAATAAATAAATGTTTCATGACTAATATCCTAGCATGAATCAAACCTTGCTGTGTTTGCCGTGTTCTCCAATAAAAATGCTGCTTAAAAAATAACCTGAGTGCCTGGACTACTTTGTCTTCACTATATGGAATTGGGGTTTGCCAGCTCTAGGTACAGGGCACCAAGGTCTACAAGTGATGAGAGTGCAGATCCCTCCTTTGTTTGCAATTTAAGATTAAGATAAAACCACAGTCATATTCCACTGTTGACTCCTACCATTCCTTTTAGAACTAATTACTTTGATAAATATCTCCCCTTACCCTGCCAGCCAAAACATTAGCAGCAGATCCTTTAAGTGGGGCCTCCATGGACTGAATTTGTTGTTCAATTTGGAGCCAAGGCAACGCCTTGAGCTAGTTGTCATGTTCCTCAAACCATTCCTGAACAAACAATGTTTGCTGTGTGGCAAGGTGCATTATCCTGCTGAAAGTTATCACTGCCCCCAGGGAACACCATTGCAATGAACGGTTGTAGTGGTCTGCAATAATCGCTAGGTAAGTGGTGTGTGCCAAAGTAACATCCACATGAATGCCAGGAGCAAAGCAGAACAATGTGCAGAGCATAGCATTGCCTCTGGCGGCCTGCCTTCTTCCCATAATGCATCCCGCTCTTCCCCTGGTAAACAATGCACATGCATCTGGCGTTGCACCTGATCTAATAGAAAACATGATTCATCAGACGACTGCTCCATGGTCAAGTTCTGATGTTCGTGTCCCGATTAAATGTGCTTTCAGTAATAAACTAAATAAAAATATGCACTGTTTAAATCTTTTAGAATCCCAATTTAAACTATCAAATAGGTGGTACTTTACACCTAAATGCTTAAAGAGACAAAAGGACAGAGGCAAAACTCCATTAACCACATGGTTACAATAAAACACTAAAATACAATAAAATACATAATGTTACATTTGTCACATAAAATATATACATGTAACCCACCCCCAGATAGCTGGGATCTGAGCGCACAAAAGTACCGAATAGCGCTCAGATCCTATTCACACAGTCCAATCACCGTGGAGTTAAAGTGTTCACAAAGTCTGTTCTCCATACGAATAGACTCCACGGGATGGCAATCTGGGGTAATGCTGTTCATAAGGTTTAAACTACAGAATGAACAGGCATCCGGTTAAATGACCGAATGCAGAAGCAAGGAGGCTGACGGCTCAGCGGTGTTCGCGCAAATAAGTGTCCATTTCCAGTTCCAAAGTTTGGGCATTGAACACCGCTCGGGACTTTAAAATGGCCACCGCCACATGTTCGGCAAACAAACCAAGGCCACCCAGCATTTGTCAATTAAGCTGCGGTTAACCGCAGCTTCTGGGAGGTAAATTGCTGACACACTCCAAATACAGGTGGTCCAGTCAATCGGTTGTTTGTTCGGTAGATTGAATCTACCGAACACCGGGCAGAAAGGCACAAACAAGCCTTTTCTGCAGGGGAAAAGAAGGCTTTTAACATGGGGCCTGTCATGGAGTAACCCTTCCGGGTTCGGCACTCAGCTGTCAGGAGCCGGACCCCGCCCCCCTCTGACACAGCTCTGGCGGTATTTAGGGAGACTGGGCCAAAGAGAGGGTGCTTGGTGATTGTGTGTGAGCTAATGTGTGAGCTGCCTCCGCGAGACTGCGGGCTCCACAGGCTCAGCAACTGGGAGCTACTTCCACCAGACTTACCTCTCCACAAGCTCAGACAAACCGTTCCAGCCTTGAGCCAATGCAAGGATTGCTGCATGCCATAAAGGATTACTGGAGAACGGATTCTTTGCTACTTTACAAGTGGACCATATCTCTGAACTATTGGTGGACTACACATATTAACCTTAAGTATACCTTTCAGCTATTTGTCTACAATATAATTTATTAATGAACTAGTGCTTGCTTACTCAAATATACTCATTGCTACAAGCTACTAATTATATGGAGGACAACTCCCATCATGCTTATTCACTATGAACTGTTTCTTGCTTTGCAAATACACTCATTGCTTCAAGCTACTAATTATATGGAGGAAGGCTCCCATCATGCTTATTCACTATGAACTGTTCTTGCTCTGCAAATATTCTTAGCTACTTGCTTATTGTTTCTATTGAAGATTATTCACATGAACTTAAAGAATGTTACTTAATGCATCTCTGAAGAAATACTTAATAATGAACTTTGTGTTGTTTATTACTTGCGCTTCTTCTTATTGGATTATTGCCTAAATGCAATTCATTTAAGTTTAACACTTATTAAAACTTCGGTTGAATCAAGTTACCAGTGATTCTCTCTTTTCTTAAAGCTATAGTATTGATACATTAAAGATTCTCAGTTTCTTCACAATTGTAATTAGGGAGTTTACAAGCTGCAGTTGAGTTCCAATCCAAATCACCCAAGTAGCGTAACAGGGCCATAGTCCAGAGACAACAGGCGGGCAACCAGGCTTCTCCAAAGCAATGTGGCGAGATTGGTCTCATCATAATGATCTATCAAATAACTGAAATAAAACTACCTTGCAAGCCTGAAGTGGTTTTACTAAATTTGCACTGGCCAGAAATGACAAAAAAAGGTCAATGTTGTTATTACACATAATTACGGCAGCAAATTACTTCTTGCAAGAAATTGGAAAACAGAGACAATTGCGAATATCAACGAACTGAAAAAACAAGTGATATGGCAAGCAAGAATGGAACGGGTTATCGTAGTAAACTTAGGGAACAGATGTAAGCAAATAGAAGACTGGTTTACATGGATAAATAAACTGGATGATATACTAGGCCTTGGGTGTTCCACACAGTGACCTGATTTTTCTCTTTCTGATTCATCTTTCCTTCACCCCCCCCCCCTATAGAGGGGAAGCAAAAGATCAGAGGAAGGGAGAAGAAGGATAGGGAAAAAAAGGGGGAAATACAACCCTAACTTGGGCAGGCAGACAAATAGAATAACAAAACATTGAAACCATATAGGATATAAGAGGCTCTCGTTCTCTCCAACACTAGATGTACAGAGTGGATAGACAAAAAATCTACACCAGGAATTAAATAGAGACAGGGGGGGACCCAGGTGGGAGGGATAAGAAGACTAATAGACCAGCAATATATTGATGATGACATTGCACCAAGGCCTGCTACATACAAGTAATACAAAACGTATGCAGGGCAGGTACAAGTCTGAAATAATAAAAAAATAAAACATTTTAAAAAGTGCTCTCAGTGGTGTACATTAGTCATCATGGGCACTCTGACTGGTCTGCAGCTACGCAGTCTCATACACAGCAAACTGCGATGCCCTGTGTGTTTTTACATGTTTCTATCATGGCGAGCATTATTTATTTTAGCAATTGGAGCTACAGTAGCTCTTCGGACCAGATTGCTAGCCTTCACTGGTTATCAGACCAGAGGGCTAGCCTTCACTCCCCATGTGCAATATGGACACCCAACACCCTGATGCCAGTGATTTGGTTATCCGTCCTTGCACCACTTTAGGTAGATACTAACCATTGCATACCGGGACCCTCACAAGACTTTGGCTGTTTTTGAGATGGTGTGACCAAGTCATCTAGCCAACACTATTTGGTCCTTATCAAAGTCACTCAGAACTTTTCGTTTGCCCATTGTTTCTGCTTCCAACATGAAATTCAAGTACTGACTGTCCATTTGCTGCCTAGTACACCCCACCCCTTGATAGGTGCCACTGTAAAGTTATAATCAATGTTATTCACTTCACCTGTCAGTAGATGTGGCTGATCAGTATATATTTGTAGGATTACCTACTTGCTTTCAGTTAGTGAACCATACAAATGTCTATGAAGAAAGCATGTGTATAAGAAATACATACCTGTTATGGACTAAAATGTGCATTTCTCTGTAAAATCTCCAGCTTTCTGATGAAACATGTCAGTCTTTCTAAAGCTCACTGTGTAAAACGAGCAACTGTAAAAAACAAAGGTACTAATTATACTCTATAATGGAAGATAGATACAACTGTCAATATCAAAACTCTGTTTCAATTAATTAAAATACTACCATTGATTGCATTTCTACAACACATTTTATACAGTATGCTTCTGTAAAATAATTGTGTTTATATTACTTTGCAATTCTATTTGTCTGTACTTAGCTTTCAGGTATGTGTCTGCCATTACATATGCATTATAAAAACTCATACATTTCTTTTAAGGTTTACTAAATATTATAGGCAGAATGGTTGCCTGGCATCCAGGCAAACATTTGTAAGTTTTTTCACATGTAAAGTACTAGCTACAGTATCTGCAGTAAATCAAATCTCATATTTTGCTATTTGTTACACAGCTTTATCATGAGCAGAAAAGCAAGTTTCAGTTAATTAAATATTGCTATTACATAAAGGGAAACTGGCAATACTTTTTGCCCAAAAGCTATGTCTTAGGCAGAGAATAAAACATCAATCTGCACAATGGCAACAGTTAGTGGGCATACAGCCAAATTCGCTAAGAGTATGTATAACAAATAGTAGTCTTCTTAATTAATTTTCACTCACTGGAGATAGCATACAATTAAAGGCCTAACAGAAATATGTTTGAATTGCTAATTCATGCAATATATTGAATTACTTTTAATTATACCAGATTCCTTTTAGAGTTCTGAATAAAGATTTTAGAAATATTAGCAATATGTTTCATGCAATGGCATGAGTGATTGATAAAAGTTGCCTATCTCATGAAATGTCTGAGCCTACAATGGAGATGCTCATCATGTTACACTCTTTATTGATACTTTAATACTGTGTGTCAGTACTGCAATTGAATGCACTTGCTGGAAAAAATGTTAACTTCATAAATTATAATGGGGTTTATACACCGAACAGTGCTTTGTAATGCATTCATAACAAATACAAACTATAGGACAAAATAGCTGGTTTGGAAACACAAAAACCTTCAGCTCAGATATAGTTAAAGCTTGATTGAATGAGCCTGAGGTTTGCAGTCTGGTTTGCAATTCCCGCCTAATTAATTTGCTGCTTAGTAAAAAAAAAAATACTAGTGTTTTACATTAACTTCCTCTAGACCCCAGGCATAGGCAACCTTCGCACTGCAGATGTTTTGGACTACACCTCCCATGATTCTTTGCCATCATTTTGGGTGTTAAGAGCATTATGGGCGATGTAGTCCACAACATCTGAAGTGCCGGCGGTTGCCTATCCCTGCACTAGACAAAAACTAGAAAGTATAAAATCCATTATGCTATTGAGAAAACAACAATATTGTCAAAGCACAAGAACTGTCAGATACAGAAAGAAAGTGAAAGGCAACACACTCAAATGGGCAGACTTTCCCAATCACCCTGTCTTATTATCACAGAGCATGTTTGAAATCAAAATCAATTTGCACAGTTTTTTTTGCTGAAGTTTGCTTCACTAACTGCATTAATGAATGACTCAATTAGTCAAGATCATGATGGATTTTCTTCGGAAAATCTCTGTAACAATCATACGTGTTAAGCCGTATGATTGCTAATAAAGATCACAAGCTTTGCCACCAGACTCAGAGTCTGTCAACTAAATATGCTGAGTGTGGCAAAACTAGCCACTTAAGACTGTATTTCCATTCATGTAATATTGTAGCTTTAAGGCTATCTGAACTGTGCATGTTCCCTTTTCTGTATTTGATGCGAACGAGATCAATCGTATGCTGGTGGCACGAAAGCCACCAGCATTCCTACAGTAGTTTCACGAACAGTGAATTTCAACACTGTTCGTGAAACGAACAAACTACCGAATGGGAGACCACACACAGGAGGTTGTGTGGCTCCCATTACGGATCGCAACATTGTATCTTTCAGTAGTTAATAGGTGTTCAGGGTACTGACAACGCGGCGGTTGGCCATCTTGGATCCTTTGTTAGCCAAGCTGTGTTTTGTCGTCGAGTGCCTGGAACTGAAATCAGCTACTCGATGGCACAAATACCGCTGGACTTCCAGGCCATTCGGGAGCACTGGTCTTTCGGTATTTTATCTCTGCATGTGTATTCGTGACTTTGATGAGTGTTCAAGTGTACTTTGTGCGGCTTCTTGGCTTCTGATTTTTATAAAATTTCCTTACACATAGAATGCATTTTGGGGGAATGCAGAATATGAACTAATATTTTTTAGCAAATGAGTTTGTTATAATATACTTTTCATATTTTCAAAATGCATTAGATGGGGGTGACACTTTTTATTCTACATAGTTCATTGACTTATTAGAGATTATGTCTAAATTGTTATGTTTAAATTATTTATAGGAGTATACGTACATAAATTTAATTATATTTTAAACCCCCATCTGGATATTAATTAATCGTTTATGAAAATTATCAGAAACTGGAGAAACTATTTAAAAAAGCGTCTGTTGATTACGGTGTATATGTGCTACATAAAATTAATTTGTTTCATCACTTCTCCAAATCCCATAACAAAACATATGGGATACATTTTCAGTGTAGACTTATATCCTTACCAGTCTAAATATTCTACACATTGCTAAAAGTAAATAACTCTGTGTCTTAATTTGAAGCATATTGTACTGAAGTTAAGCTGATACCTCCGATTTTATTTGAGTGATTAAACTGTCTGTTTTTATTACCTTTTGGATATTTGTATTTTTTTTATTAATGTTAAAATAAATTATATTTGAAACTTATGAGTTAATTAGTTGATTTTTTTGATTGGGTAACTAAAATTATAGATCAGGGTGGTGCAGTAGACATTGCTTACCTAGATTTCAGTAAGGCTTTTGACACTGTTGAACATAGAAGGCTTATCAATAAACTGCAATCTTTAAGTTTGGATTCCAATATTGTTGAATGGGTAAGGCAGTGGCTGAGTGACAGGCAACAGAGGGTTGTAGTTAATGGAATATATTCGAAGCTTAGACTTGTCACCAGTGGGGTACCTCAGGGATCTGTACTTGTACCCATTCTCTTTAATATTTTTATTAGTGATATTGCAGAAGGTCTTGATGGTAAGGTATGTCTTTTTGCTGATGATACTAAGATATGTAACAGGGTTGATGTTCCAGGAGGGATAAGCCAAATGACAAATGATTTAGGTAAACTAGAAAAATGGTCAGATTTGTGGCAACTGACATTTAATGTGGATAAGTGCAAGATAATGCATCTTGGACGTAAAAACCCAAGGGCAGAGTACAGAATATTTGATAGAGTCCTAACCTCAACATATGAGGAAAGGGATTTAGGGGTGATTGTTTCTGATGACTTAAAGGTAGGCAGACAATGTAATAGAGCAGCAGGAAATGCTAGCAGAATGCTTGGTTGTATAGGGAGAGGTATTAGCAGTAGAAAGAGGGAAGTGCTCATGCCATTGTACAGAACACTGGTGAGACCTCACTTGGAGTATTGTACACAGTACTGGAGACCGTATCTTCAGAAGGATATTGATACCTTAGAGAGGGTTCAGAGAAGGGCTACTAAACTGGTTCATGGATTGCGGATAAAACTTACCAGGAAAGGTTAAAGGATCTTAACATGTATAGCTTGGAGGAAAGACGAGACAGGGGGGATATGATAGAAACATTTAAATACATAAAGGGAATCAACACAGTAAAGGAGGAGACTATATTTAAAAGAAGAAAAACTACCACAACAAGAGGACATAGTCTTAAATTAGAGGGACAAAGGTTTAAAAATAATATCAGGAAGTATTACTTTACTGAGAGGGTAGTGAATGCATGGGATAGCCTTCCAGCTGAAGTGGTAGAGGTTAACACAGTAAAGGAGTTTAAGCATGCATGGGATAGGCATAAGGCTATCCTAACTATAAGATAAGGCTAGGGACTAAAGAAAGTATTTATAAAATTGGGCAGACTAGATGGGCCGAATGGTTCTTATCTGCCGTTACATTCTACATTTCTATGTTTCTATGTTTCTATGTTTCTATGTTGCTATGTTAAATAAGCTGTAAAACTGTAGCATCTATATAAGTGTACCCCAAATGTTTATATCATAAACTGATTGATGCATTTTTATTTATATTAAGTTAATATTTATTATAAGTGCATAGTTTAAATATTTAAAAAGTATTTTTATGTTTACATTGTTTATATTTATTAAAGTGGTTTTATTTTATATATATATATATATATATATATATATATATATATATATATATATATATCTGTGTGTGTATATATATGTAACCACTAGGTTTGCGCTTTAAGAGCAATTTTTGTGGTGACCTGGGCTGCAAATAGTTGCAACTATTGTATGATATTCAAAAGTATTATGTATGTGGTTATATTTAAATATATTATCCATCTGAATCTCATCCATTATGCTGTAATAAGCTGCACATAAAGAGAAAGAAAAGACAATCACGAGAGGAAAGCAAGTACAAAGAAAATAAAAAAGAGGAGGCATGGGGCAAACATAATGGATAAGAAGGCCTCAAGATAACAAGACCTTATCCAAAAAGGGGGCCATGTTTTGTAAAAAAACTGAGACTTAGGGTGCCAGAGTTGACCACTGATGGCGCTCTCTTGACAAAGGTACTTGAGATCTTCTGGCCTATCCCCCTGGAAATCACAGGAAAAGAAAATGGGAGCCCACTGCACCCAGCAAGGGGGTACAGTCAAGGGATATTATAGTCCATGTTAATTTCCACAGTAAATAGGGAGCTGTTATCAGGAAATACCAGGCTCTGAGACTTCCAACCAAGGGCCTTGGTATTTCAGGACCTCTCACCCACTGAGACCATGGAGGCCAATTGTTTATCTGCTATGCTCTAAAATATCCTGCTTGCATAAGGGTCATCCATTTAAGTTAACGGTCGCCCACTCATCCTAGTCCCCACAGGGGACCCTAGGTAATTCTTCCAATCTCTGGATATGGAGGCATGGGAATGTAATCCTTCTTCCAGCATTAAATTACTATCCATAATATTAACTCAGAAGCACCAGTCACACGGCACTTCAGAGAGAAAAGGTACAATGTCTCACAGCTTCGCTATCAGGTGTTAAAGATTGTGTCCCCACTTGCCATAAAGAATAACAGGGAAAAGGTTCTTTTGCAGAAGGAAGTCTGCTGGATGGTGAGTCTCCCACTTTGATATAAATCTTTAATACTTATGTTTGTTTTTTCTCCAGTATTTTGTCCTCCTTGGACAAAATTCTTTCTTGCAGGCTCAGTCCCATAAAATAGGTTTGTAATGTGTATATCTTATCCCTATATGGTGATGAGGTGGTAATATTAATAGTTATTTTGAGTAATATGTTATTGTATATATGCTTTTTTTTTTTACATGCTTGTTTCCTATCAAGAGTCATATAGGACTGTTTTTCCTATATAGAGTGAGTGTGACATGATTGAGTCTAGATATCGGCACCTTTGCCTCCCATAGCATGTTT